AGAGCTAACAGAGCTAGCAGGTGGTGGTGTCTCCTGGCTACATGTCTCCACAGAGGGGCTCAGAAGGGAAAACACCCACCTGACTCCTGTTGGATATGTGAATTTGCGTATATTGGACGTCGTTGTTGCTCCTGACTGAGTCTGAAAAAGAGACGAAGTCTGAGGTGAGTTTCTGCCTCATGAGACAGAACAACAACAACAACATGCTGGCAAAAAGCCCCAGAACACAAACTACGCTGGTCTGAAACAGAAACAACAGGATGTCTGTCAACAAAGTAAATAATCAATTATTCCTTTCTGGGAATGAACAGACCAAATACCTGCCTTGTGTTTTTCTTAAAGCAGACGGAGAGCAGAACTACAGCTATCAGGAACCCAGCAGAGGTCACTGCTGCAATGATCCAATAACCTGAAACAGAACCGGACACAGCCAGGAATCAGAACCCAGTTCAAACGGGGGGCCGGTCTGTAGTAGGGATGGGACGGTTTCTGAAAACCGTCTGAACGGTTCGGTTCGACTGTCTCGGTTCGGTTCGCGTGTGTTTTGTTCGGTTCCTGCTGCTCCTTTTTCTCAGAGGGAAGCGTTTACACTCCAGAGCAGAAGGGGGCGCTACTGCGCCCAAAGCCAACCACCAGTAGGAAACCAGAAGAAGAAGAAGCAGCGTAGCCCATAAAAACCAGACCCAGCAGCAGTTTCTAGGTCTGCTGTATGGACCAGTTTGCATTTAGAGGGAAGCACATGTTGGAATTAGCTCTGTTTCCTCTCTGGCAGAATCTCACCTACTTTAACCTCAGACTGTCACAGTAATGGATCACATGTCACACTGCTTTTTTCTTTTAGTTTTAACCTGACTATACAAGACATAATAGATTTTCCTAACAAAAAACATATACCGAACCCAACCCAAAACCACGACCACGAAACCGTGAATCGAACCGAACCGTGGATTTAGGGAACCGTCCCACCCCTAGTCTGGAGGTAAAAGGACTCTTACTGTGTCACATTCTTACAACAAACGCTGGTCTAAATAGCTGACGTACAAGAGCAAAGAAAGCATAACTAGGTGTATCATCTTGTAATGTATTATTTTTTTTCTTTTTTTACTTATCTAAGTATCAGTGCCCCAAGTTCTGTGTGTGTTGTATGTTTTACTGAAATGAAAAATGTTAAATAAAGAGTATAAAGATAAAAAGGACTCTCACTGTGCCTGTTCTCCGGGTCTCCCGTCGGGTTC